AAAAAAATATAGTCTTTGTAGGTAGTTATATTGTTTAACATTGTTAGCAAATTATAAGTTTCAAGAAATCAGCTTAAGGAGATCATAACAAGTCTACAATACATTTATTGTTTACTCTGAATTTTCATTCAAACCAAAATTTTCATTAAAACCAATGTTAAAAAACTAGTGAAAATACCTATCTTACACTTATGCGTTAGGTTTCATATTGGTATGAGGTATAAATAAATTGCTTTTTTAGTCCTATATTATCCACAGAATAGCTTTTATTTCAGTTATTTTTTTTTTCAGAGAACGAAATACGTGGAAGAACATTTTAAAACTCAGGATACTAGTTCACCTGAAAATGTGAAACAGTATTTTAAACAAGAAAGTATGTGAAATTTGAAAAGATGAAATATAAATTATATGACAGTGATATTTGTTAGTGAAAGAAGCAACACAATTATATCTATAATAACTCACAATTTTAAAAAATATAACAAAATGGGGCTAGTGAGATAGCTCAGCAGACTAAGTGCCTGCTTAGACAAAAAGAAGGACCAGAGCTCAATCCCCAGCGCCACAGGCTGCACCAGCCCTACCCTCAGGAATGCTTGGCCAGCCACCAAGAGTGGGGTGGTAGAATATGCCCATAATCCCAGCGCTGCTGAGACTGAAAACAGGATAATCACTATGAGTCCGAGCTGTGTAGTGAGACCCTGTACCAAATACATAAAAATAAATAAAAATTTTAAAAAAGCAAAATGTACTGAAAGTACTGCCTTTTCTTTCCTTTTGTTCTAAGTGCAGTATCAGGAAACCCTACAAAAGGAAAACCAAGCTAAGTCACAAATACGTACCAAATTCTCAGAAGATTGAAAAGTATGTAATCTATAGGGTTAAATTTTAATTTAAAAAATAAGGTGAATCTTAATAGGTGGTTTTAGAGAAAACGAAGAGTGATAGTCATTAATTCATCAAACTAATACCTCAGCTAGAATATTTAATAAACTGGATCAATATGAAAAATCAAAAGAGTATTGTTGGAGAATTTAGGAACTCACATAAATTCTGACATTATTAAGCTTTTCTGTTTGAAAATACATTATATACATTTCTCTTTGTTTCACTGTCACAGAAATGTTGAAAACTGCTCACCATTATATTTCCTTTATACATAACATTTTTCCTCACTATATAACAGTATTTCAGGATCTCTAGCACTTTTATGCTTCATAAACATATACTCAGGAACACTCAGTGAAACAAACTATATACTTATCTAAAATGGACAACTAAAATAACAATATGTACTTAAATCTTAAATGGATGATTACAAGAAATAATGAGAATAAGTATTTTGTATACTCAGAAAAATTATATATTATCTCATACTATCTGATAAAAATTTTAACTATCAAAGTTTATTTTAGATGAAATGTTTCAAATATCTCATGTAATTTCCTTAATGAAAATATTTTAAATTTCAGAACACAGATTTATCAATGCTTCACTTACATGGAAAGAAACAAGGCATAATAAGCACATTAACAACTCAAATTCATCAGTCATTTTAAGAAGCTATTTCTAAACATATATCTAGAGTAAGCATAAGGAATTATTGTTAATATGTTTTCAAACAATTGGCTAATAAAAGAAAATCATGTATGATTTTTATCAGAATTACACAATATTATTAGGAAATATGACTTCATTAGAAGTAAAAGTGCCACTGAGTTTGCATCTATTTTTAATCAAAGATAAAAACGAAAGGCACTTCATTGGTAGAATAAGACCCATGATAATTTTATGATTGAAACTAGTAGCATTCTGGACTTTCATTCTAAATTCTGTCATTTTGGACCAGATTTTCAAGGAACTCAGTCTGATGTTAAAAGACATGTTATAACTTGGATTTCCAATGTCAGTGCTTCAGAAAAATGTGTATATGACTTATAATGTAATTACAGCTACCTTAAGACAGAGAAGGCAAGTAACAGCAATATACTAGAAATATAATTGAAAAACGTAGTGGTTCAGAAGCACGTGTAGGGATGATGCCTCTGAAAATCTGCTCAAAGCTTCAGAGTTTGAAGTTAAATTTCTGATGTTGTCACTCTCAATCTATTGAATGGCTGACAGACAATCAAACCCGTCTGGCTGGCTGGCAGCTCATTTTGCTGGCAGGTGGCAAACAATTAGACACACCAATTTGTGCCTCCTGATGACATTAAAGCATGAAACTAAGTTGTATGCAGGGCCTAGTGATTTGTGTGAAAGCATTTCAAAAATAATACTCTTTGCCGTGGCAACTCATTTCAGACTGCCACCTCCCATTATGGCTTTGAGCAGTGAAGACGACAGACTTGAGTTACGTGCAGTGCAAGGCCGCTTCTGTTCAATCCATCATTGGTGCCCCCTGAGACCTCAATCCCCTCCTTTCATCAATATCACCTCATCATTTACATTTGATAGTACTTGAGCTACTGCATATATTAACTACACTGACGATTCTTTTCCTAAAGATTTGAAATATGCTTTGTGCTCTTCCATTTCGTTTCTACTTACGCAATTTAAAATAATGATTCCAGTCCCACTGTATTTTACACAAATGCTACCAAGAACAAAATTTCCTTTTATTTTAAAGCAACACTTTCAAATGTGTAATAAATTTTATGTAGCTAAGAATACTGGCACTCAAGTGACTTCTTGACAGCTTTAAGTTTAGTGAAAAGTAATAAATTAAAACAAAAATATTTTGCTTTAACATTCCAATAAATTACTATAACTCTGTGTATTTGTTGGCATTTTAGTAAAATTTAAAAATGCAACTTAAAAGAAAATATGAAACAAAACTTAAAAGGACCTTATATTATTGCTGCATTTATAGTTACATACTATGGATATTAAAAAGCATAAATATTTAATAAGGAAAAATTTTATTCAAAGTCATAAACACAAATACAAATACATTGTGGAAAAAATGAACTTAATACAGAAATGGAGAATATCAATATAGTATAAGTGTAATAAGGAACAATAACTATATGAATGAACATATAAATATGTCACCACAAACTACTAAAAGCAAAAAAAATTCCAGTATGTTATAGTTCTACCATTTTTCAATTTTGAAAACTTTTCAAGCAACAAATTTTATCTTTTACAATCATTTCCTTATACTGTAAATTCACTAAGGATAAAAAGTTTCTTCATCTTTATATCCCACAGAAATATATAACTAATGCCTTTAGATTTATACAACAAATTTTCAAGAAATACATGTAAAGCATTGCTTAAAGTGTTTGTAGGCAAAGTCTGAACTATATTCGTGAATGAAAAGAATAAGCTATGCAAACACAGTGGCTTCACTGTAAAACTTCTACCCTTCAATTCTAAAATATTACTTGTTATAGTCCTAAAAAAGCATTTTCTTAACTCAGTCTTGACTCTCTAAAACTAAAAATATTTGCTTGTTAAGCTTATGTTATATAATATGCATTATATATTCCAAATTGTAAAGGTCTTTTAAACACTGACTTAATTCAGACAATAAACCATAGATTCTTCAGTTTGTGCATTAAAATAGGAAACCATAATTTGGAATATGCAATAATCCCAATGGTCAAAATTAAGTACAGTACTATTGTTAGTCATGATAGCTAAGCAATCTTGTAATGCTGCATATGTGTTTAAATAGCAAGATACATTTATATGCACAGATTGGCTATGTATAAAATGTTGCTTTGCTGCTTTGAATAAAAACTATCATTTTTATTCTATATAGAGTGAGCAGAAAACTCTTTCATTTCTAACACGTTTTGAATGACCTAATATTTAAATATAGATACACAGACTATGATGTAGTTTATATACCTAAAATACCAAAATGTCTTTCGAGTATATTTACTTTCAAATACATGCTACAAAATATGGCTTTTACATAACACTAGAAATCCTCTAAGGATAATAAGGATGATCTCAATCATTTTTATTTCTCAATATACTTCCACTTAAAAGTTAAATTGTTTTACTACTAAAAAGAAGCTACTTAATCTCTGACAATAGCTGGGGTATAATACTAAAATGGAAAAAAGTAAAATAAAATTGAATTTGAGAGAGAGAGAGAGAGAGAGAGAGAGAGAGAGAGAGAGAGAGAGAGAGAGAGAGATAGTATATCTTGGAGAGAAGTTGCCTATCTCTTCATCTGTTTTAAACTCAAAACAATTAAATTCGAAAAGAACAAATTGATTTCTGCAATGCACTGCAGTACCGTCATAATGTTTTCAACCATTATGAACCAGGTTTCCCTGCATCCAATTCAATATGTTAGTTCCCATATCTACTAAAATCTCCATTTTAGGATGTATTATTAAAATGCTTTATTAAGAGAGTAATCAGCTTGATCAATTACTGTAACAGTCTTTGTAATGAAAATTCACATTAAAGTTTTGAAGACATTGTAGCTTTTCTACATTAACAGTTTAATTCTTTCTACAGGAAGATCTTTATGAATAGTAAGACTGGTACTTACCTGTCAAAGGAATGAAACTGCATAGGAAGAATAGTGTGCGCTTCTCTCTTCAGTGCTGGATCTGGATATGGGATAGGTTCAGGACCACACTCTGCAATTTCAACAGGGGCAGCCACAAGACTTTTCAGTATTTCCTTGACATTGATACCTTTAGTTTGACTAATGCTAGATATGGACGGTGCAGGTTTCAACATCTCATTGGGATTTTCGGTTAGGCTCTCTTGTGACTTCTTCACTTCAGATGACAAAGTGGATAATAGTTCACTCATGGCATCAGGACCTGCAGGAGTCTCTAATTCTGCCCCATTCAGGATGCTAGCCACTTGTTCCTCTCCAATTCCTGAATCTGTATGAGGAATTGAACTTTCTAGATGAATATCTTCACCAGGACCTGAAGTTTCTTTTTCCTTTATAGTATCTGGAAATGCAGCAGGTGTTTCTGTAATGGAAAAAATAATTTAAAAGTTTCACATGTGAAAGCCTCATGTCATTGGTAAAATGTTCTCATAGTAGAATAAGGAAAAAAATGTAAAAAAATTTGCAAGTTCATATTTGAATATACAATAATGTACTATATTAAAGATATCTATTTATACTCATTATTTTGCTCAATAAACATTAAGATAAACTGTTTAACAAATAATCTGACATTTCAAAATTAATTCTTATAAGACAGTGTCAGAAAAATATTCTCATAATAATTAATAATTATTATTATAGATTTTCCTTTTCATTACTAGTTACCCATCATGAAAAAAATTTTTATCTTTCCTTAAAATTCCTTAAATATGTGAAGTAATTTTAAAATTTACTTTGCAAACTCAATAACCAGTAATAAAGTATCTGAAATATTTAAACAAAGACATTATTTAAAATCACATACATATGAATCATAAAATTCAAAAGAATTTTTAAAATATAAAGCATGTTAAATTATTAATTCAAAAAAGAATAAATTTCTTAATTATACAATAATGTCCCTCAAGAACTTTTGCCACTATAATCATTTTGCTATGCTCTTGTTCATTCTTTTTAAATTTCTTTTATTTATTTAGTACGGAGTCTGAAAGGTTTCACTACATAGATAGGACTTGTAGTAACCCTATTTTCAGCCTCCCAAGCGCTGGGATTATAGGCTTGTGCCACCATGCCCAGTCTCAACTGCCCTCTCAGCAAACCCAGAGGATGGGGCCAGCATGGCACACTAGGTCCTTTGTCTGCCTAAGCAGGCACTTTAATATGCTGAGCTTGGGGGTGGGGTCAGCGCCCTGTGCCTCCCGTTGCCTTATGGCTTCTCCGCCATGCAAGGCTGGCGTATCTCTATGGAAGATGCTCACAACTGTATCCCTGAGCTGGACAGTGAGACAGCCATGTTTTCTCAAACACTGATACCTTTAGTTTGACTAATGCTAGATTAGGGGAGGAAGTTGCCTTGTACTGTGCCAAATATCTTCCTGATATCAAAGATCAGAAGGCTTACAAGGAAGGCAAGCTACAGAAGGCTTTAGAAGATGGCTTTTTGGCTATAGATGCCAAACTTATTACTGAGGAAGTCATTAAAGAGCTAGCCCAGATTGCAGGGAGACCCACAGAAGATGAGGATGAAAAAGATAAAGTAGCTAGTGAAGATGATGTGCGAGGAGGCTGCATTGCTGCATAAAGAGGCTACCATGACTATTGAAAAACTGCTGACACGCTACGGGCAGAACTGTCACAAGGGCCCTCCCCACAGCAAAAATGGAGCTGGGATAGGTGAGGAACCAGGGTCCCAGGGCCTCAATGGGGAGGCAGGACCTGAGGACCCATCTAGGGAAATTCCTTCACAGAAAAATGGCCCCACATCCAAGGCCCACACAGGCCTTTCCTCCAACTTGGAACGTGGGGCTGAGGCAGGCCAAATTGGTAAGCCTTGCACTCCCACTGGTGAGGCTGGGCCTTCCTGCTCATCAGCCTCCGACAAGCTGCCTCAAGTTGCTAAGTCCAAGTCCTTTGAGGACAGTAAGGAAGAGTCAGATGAAGCGGAGGAGGATGAGGAAGACAGTGAGGACTGTAGTGAGGAAGAGGATGGCTATAGCAGCAAGGAGGCAGAGAATGAGGAAGATGAGGATGACGCTGAGGAGGCGGAAGAGGATGATGTAGAAGAAATGATGGTGCCAGGGATGGAAGGCAAAGAGGAGCCTGGTTCTGACAGTGGCACAACAGCAGTGGTGATTCTCATACGAGGAGAGCAGTTGATTGTAGATAACGCAGGAGATTCTGGCTGTGTGGTATCTGAGACTGGCAAAGCTTTAGACATGTCCTATGACCATAAACCTGAGGATGAAATGGAGCTAGCATGCACCAAGAATACTGGCAGCAAGGTCACCATGGATGGACGAGTCAATGGGGGCCTCAACCTCTTCAGAGCTATTGGAGACCACTTCTACAAGAGGAACAAGAACCTGCAGCCTGAGGAACAGACAATTTTAGCCCTTTCTGACATCAAGGTGCTGACTCTCACTGATGACCATGAATTCATGGTCATTGCTTGTGATGGCATCTGGAATGTGATGAGAAGCCAGGAAGTTGTAGACTTTATTCAGTCAAAGATCACCCAGCGTGATGAAAATGGGGAGCTTTGGTTATTGTCATCCATTACGGAAGAGCTGCTGGATCAGTGCCTGACACCAGACACTTTGGGGGATGGCACAGGGTGTGACAACATGACCTGCATCATCATCTGTTTCAAGCCCCGAAGCACAGCAGAACTCTAGCCAGAGAGCGGCAAGCGGAAACTTGAGGAGGTGCTTCTGAGGAGGCTGAAGAGAATGGCAACAGCGACAAGAAAGCCAAGAGGGACTAGCAGTCATCCAAACGCCTATCCACATAGACTGTTTTCTGAGCCCTCCAGACCTAAGACTGAGTTTTGTCTTTTTCCTTTAGCCTTAGCAGCAGGTATCAGGTGTGCAGGGGGAGATGGGCGGCTTCTCTTGGCCTATTTCAAAGAGGGCTGTTCCTCCACACAGCAGCCCAGGAGCCTCTGATGACCCCCCCCCCCCCAGTTGCTTCCTTGCTCTTTTGGGCTCATCACAGGTTCTGTTCCTGTGTTCTATTGTGTTGGAGGAAAGACTGGCAGTTCTGGTTTTTAGCTCTGTGAACACTTTACTTAAAGACATTTTTTTTTAAATTGGCGGCTCCATGGCCCCAGCCGCTTGCACTTGCTCTCTGTTGTACACTTTCAATCAACACTTTTTCAGACTAAAGGCCAAAACCTAAAAAAAAAATGCTGAGCCATTTGGCCGGCCCAGAAATGCTGTTTCAAGAATAGTGTTGGTGGGAGGGATCAAGACATATTAAGAGGATTAAAGATCACATGATGGAATTTGTTCAGTAACAGGCTCAACGTCTTATACCCTGTCCCTAAGATAGTTTCATTATTTTCATAAATGAAGATTAATGGAATGATATTCAAATTTAATTGATGTAAATTTTATCAATTTTCCAAATTAATTTCAGGATAATTTTGCAAAAGTTTCAAAAGCAAAAACACCGTTCTCTTTTTGTTTGAAAGAACAGAAGTATCTTATCAGAAAATATAAATCTGAGAAATGTAGTAATAATAGTGAAATCACTGATGATTAAGGTAAATAGGTTCAATGTACTGTATAGTGCTTCAAAGATTAAAGATTAAAGTACATGAAAGTTTTGAAAAGACAATCTCAATCTCTAGGCAAGGCACAGGGAAGAAAACAGGTAAGAGGTTGATTTCTTTTAAAAGAAAATCTTAGAAGAAAAATTAAGACAAAAAATTTAAAAAACTGCATTGCAGTAAAGCACAGTAAGAGCAAAGCAAAACAAATAAGCAAATAACATCCCACAATGTTTTTGGAACACCTCACAAGAAAAAATAGTAATGAGTCACTGAAAGAAGAGGATAAGTAGGATTGTTTATGAATTAAATCTTTTTTGAAAGAGAATAAAAAATAGTAAAAAAAAAATCAGAAATGATACAAAATTTCACTAAACAAAATGATAGGAATTTGACAATGGCTATTATATTGCATATTGTTGTTTTCAAATTAGTTGTTCAAATTGCAATATATAAGCATGCAAAATTCGCTAAAAAAGAAAAAAATTTAAAGTTTCTTTCAACAGACCAGTAGAAATCAACACTACCATTATCAATGCTATCCTGTGTATATCCACATATGAATATATTTCCCTTCCTTATCTCATTTCCATCATCCCAGATGTTCCTTTTCTTTGAACATTTTCTTTCCCTTTTACAGTATCTACTGCACCTTTCAGGTTTTATTTACACTTTCAGGTTTTTACAGTAGGGAGACAATATGACATGTGCATCTGATTTATTTCATTTATGAGTACAGTCTCAAGTTGCATCCATTTTACTATAAAAGTCTCCAGTCTATCTTTCTTTATAGCTAAGTAATATTTCATTGCATACAAATGCTACATCTTTTTATCCATTTCTCAGTTGATGGGCATTTGGGTTGTTTCCAAGATTTAGCTTCAACAGATTTCACTGGTAGAAATATGAGTGTATGGGGCCGGCCAGACAGCTCAGTGGACTAAATTAGCATCTACCTAGGCAAGAACAGGGACCAGAGTTCAATCACTAGTGTGCCATGCTGGTCCGTCCCCAGGGCACACTGAGATGGAAGCTCAGAGTCAGTGTGGTGCTGAGAGTCTGTAATACCAGCACTTGGGAGGCTGAAAACAGGAGGATCACTATGAGTCTGATCTGTGTAGTGAGACCTGTACACCCTGTACTAACTACATTTAAAAAAAAAAAATGTATGAGTGTATACTTATATCACTGTGGTATGATGTTTTTTCAGTTTTTTTTTTTTTTTTGAAAAATACCCAGGAGGGGAATAGCTAGCATGATTGGGACCTCTAATCCTAGTGTCCTGAGCTATATCCACACTGATGTCCATAGTGGTTGTACTGTCTACATTCCTATCAATAGTCGAGAAGAGTTCCTTTTGCCCAATAGCCCCTCCAGCACTTGTTACTAGTTGACTTCTTGATGACAGACATTCTTTCTGGGGTGAGACAGAATCTCTGTGTTGTTTGAAAATGCATTTCTTGACTGACCAGTGATGGTTACCATTTTTTCATATATTTATTTGCCATCTGTATTTGTTCTTCTCAGATGTGTACATTCATCTTAGATGCTTAGTTTTGGATTGGGTCTTTGAATTTTGGGGGCCTAATTTTTGAATTATTTATATGTTCTAGATGGAAGTCCTTTGTCTAAGGGATAGTTGGCTAAATTTTTTTCCTAATTTTTGGGTTTTCTTTTTACTCTGTTGGAGATTTCTTTGACGTGCAAAAACTTTTCAATACAATGAGATCCCAGTTGTTAATTCTTTGAAGAATTTCCCATGCAGTTTGGTTTTTGTTCATGAACTCTCTGCCTACCCCTATATCTTCAAGATCTGAAATAACTGGCTCTCTACGTGCTGAAGACTAAAATTAGACCCATGTCTATCACTATGTACTAAAGTAAAAATGGATCAAAGATTTAAATATTAAAACAGAAATAGTAAATCCACTGAAGGAGAAACTTGGTAGAAAACATGAATTAAGTCTTGAATCAATAAAGTCTGTCCATACAATCTTTGGGATATTCATATCTGTAAGCCAAGAGAACAACCATACATTTTTGTATCATTCAAATGGAAGTGATAATAAAAACCTTGCACCTTGAGGAAGAAAATTATGCACAAAACATGAGAAGATAATTTGCATTGAGATGATCAGTTTCACTATGAAGATACTTGAAACACAGTTGTACACATATAGATTATGTATTTTTGTTTTGTTTTACTTTTTTTTGAGATACGGTCTCATTATGTAGACCAGGTTGACCTTGAATTGATGGCAATTGTGCCTCAACCTTACAAGTGTTGCAATTATAAGTGTATGCAACAACTCCTGACTGATTATATATATATAGATAGATAGATAGATAGATAGATTAGACATAGATATGGATTAAATATAGATCAGATGCAGATATACAGATTTAGATATACAGACACAGAGATGGCTACATATTTTGGAAAACAGCTGCAGCAAAATATGAAAGGAGCAATAATGACATTTCTGTAACAGCAGGACAAAGGATATTAAAATCAGAAACAAAATGGCCTTAACAAAAATAACAACAATCACCATCACCACCACAACAAAAACCCCCAAGATGATGGATACTAGCATAGACGAACTTTTCTTATGGAGTGTAATTTAATTATCAACTACAATCTAGCTGTCAGCATGAATTTAATTAGTTTATAGACTTGGTGTAGAATTCTGGCTTTAAAAAGACATTTAAAGATATTTATGGTGTACATTAAAAGTTACATAAATACTGAACAATCCAGGTAATATTAATGTGTTAAATTAGTAAATAAAATATCTAAAGCTGTGTTAATAAGCTATTTGTTTTCTTAAGCTAATTCTGTAATATATATTTTCTGTCATAGTAATTACAGAAATACCTTCTCAGTTATCATGCCAGCTAAAGACTAGACTGATACTAGCTTAAAAGTCTTTGGCTATCCTTTGCTAGAGGCTGCGCACATCCACATGTGTTGGGGCATCCTTACAATGTTCCCACAGTTTGAAACATTTCCTCAGTTTGCACTTCCTGTTTGTGCAAGGCCTCAAGGTCAGCAAAGGCAAAAGACTGGGCCCTCCTATAACATGTCTGAATCTATAGATACAGTACCTCATTCACACATCTTCTAATTAAGATGTTAAAGAAGGTTATTTTTTTTTCTAAATTGGCACTGTCAATTTAATGCCAATGAACCCTTTGACAAATACCATGAATACAGAACTTTCACTACCAAACTAGTTCAATCAGGTAAAAAAATGATAAGCCTATGAATGAAGTTTTTCCATGGTGTTTCCAAGCAGCTCAAATAGCTCACTGCTCTAGGAATGAAACTCTAGCAGGAAATACAACTATAGTCTACCTCTTTCTCCAGTGACTTCTAGTTGCTAGTTTTGGTAGCTATTAGGAGTTTCTTGCCTCCTATTTTCCAGGCTATCAACCATTTATAGAGTGGCCAGCAACGGGACAAGTTAAATCACTATTAATACATTCCTGGTGGTTTGTACCACCAGTGGCATCTTATGGGACTGTCATGCAAGTACCACTAGTGGTTCAAGTGGCCCAGCAGCAAGACATAGAAATTACAGCTCTGTTTGACTGTTCATTAAACTTGCCGTTCATAGTTTTCCCCAAATTAATATATTATGGATTGTTGTTACTCTTTGATGATGTTCCAGAGAACTGAAAAAAGTTGATCCAGTATCATGGCTAGGTTCTAACTGCTTTGTGTTCTGGAGGTCTTTATTTCACTTTCTATTATAAATCTTGTCTCCAAATTATATTTGAAAATCAAATTTTAATGTTGCTTCAACTTTTACATTTTGAATAAATTATCAACAAGCTATTGTAAAATATTCATGTATACACACTTTTCTCTTGCACTAGCTTGGATGTTTTTCTTTCTCAATAAAAACTAACTCAAAACTTAAGTGCTTCATACATTTTGCTATTTAATTAAAGCCACCACCAACACTAATAAAAATCTTAACATATCTACTCATAACGTTTTCAAAATTGCAGAAAACATTACAGAACCAAACATATTATAACTATAATTAAATTACATAAGCTAGTAAGTTGACTACTATATAATGGTTCAGATTTCAGCCTTTCAAATTAAGACTGAAGTTCACTTAAGAATCATTTATGTCAGGGAGAGAACTCAGAGGCTTAAGTAACTTCCTGGGAAGCATAAGATCATGAATTCAATTCCTGGT